TATTTTTTGACACTTCAACTGAGACGTAATTTCAATAAAAATGCCTGGAGAAGACCGAGAAAAATGCGGGAATTTTGAAAATTGAGATGGAGTGGCCACCCTGCAATAATTATCCCCAAATGTTATGTTGCTATAATTTGGAGTTCATGTGATTTACTTGGAATTTTCAACAGAGCTCTCTTTAAATTCTTCTCAGAACATACTTTAAATCGTCAAAGAATTCTTCTTAGAACTGTTTTTAAAATGCACTTGCTGCGCTGCGCTTCTCACAATTACTTTGGTATTCTTTGTTTTAATTGTTTTGATGTTATAGTTAGAACTCACTTGAAGTTCTTCCCAGAGTTTCATACCGTGCATGCACCATAAGTTGAATAGTTCCTAATGCAATGGCGTCGCTCTAACCTCAATCTACCTGTTCAACCACTCTCAAAACGTAAAAAAACAAAGCAATATTGGTTCCAACGGATACAAATAAGTGAAACTAGAAGACCATGTCCCTTTTGAAACTGATTTGAATGTAAACATGACCCTAAAATAACGATTTAAAAGTGGTTTAAAGGTAAAAAGTGAGGTTACGTGACGCCACTGGCCTAATGTAGGACAGTTTTATGGAAAGTAAATAGCAATAAAAGGTTTTAGCAATTAAAGGATTTTTTTACGTAAGATTACGTCTTTCAGCAACATATTGGGGATGCAATTTCAAAAACCAAAATCGACTGCGCTACGAAAAGTTGTCAGATTTTGACCACTTATAACTCTGTCAATAGCGGATGGATTTTAAATCTAAACAAGCCAATCGATTTGAAATTTTTCTACGAATCTGCTGAACACTTTGCAATTTTCAATATCACTATTTAAATTTACACAAATGTCCAACTGTTGCAATGGTGATCAAAATTATCACCGATTGCCTACAAAACATTGGTTTCCCTAACACAGTCGCCGAATATTGATACCAAGAACGTAATCCTACGTTAAATACACGGCCGTGTCTTGGCTACAACCTCTTACTTTTTATTGCAGTCTCTAGTCTAGGTAGTCTAGGATCAGAAATTCATATAAGTATAAATAATGTCACCATGTTACAGTCGCTATAAATCAATGAAGACGCATGGTAGTCTAGTCGCATAGGAGCATTAAGCGAAAACCCAAAACTTGATAACTTCACAAAAATATAACTCATAAACGAAAAAAACACATCGCTGATTTTTGGATATGTTGTGTAAAAGACCCTAAATTTTCAAGGAAAAATATAAAAACATATTGCGCCCTCTGCCTATAAACCATAACAAACAAAAGCATTCCATGTTTTTTCAATGCACAATCCATTTTTTCAATATTATTTTATTTTTTCTAAAAAGTTAATTACCTTTCATTTGATATTTGATAATCTTTGAAATCGACCCAGTGGTTCAAAAGTTATGAATTTTTGAAAAAAGGCATTTTTGATAAAAATCGATTTTTTGGACCATCTTAACATTGCAATGTATTGAAATGATCACCCTAATGACAAAATAAAAAAATTGCGATAAGAAGCAAAACAACCAATTCATATGAAATTCTGAGAACCACTATGTCGTTAATTTTATGTAATTGTTGTATTATTACATTGTAAAATGATTATCTTAATTTGATTAGTTATCTCTATGTCATATTTAGCCTTTTGTAGAAGATTATCATATTAGTAGTCGCTGACGAGTAAATCGGTTAAACACCGAATTGTCCGTAGTTAGGCACTAATTACAGACACACAGAGTTGTTTTTAGAATTCTTCTAAAATAAATTTGAAATTCTCTCTTGAAGTTCCTTGAAAGTTAGTTTAAAACAGTACAGACATTATCTGTAGAATACTCCAAAAAAAATTTAAAATTGGCCCATAGATTCTCTTTGAAATTTAAATTTTCTCTAAGAATTCACTGAAGCTTCCATTTTTTTTTAATTTGCTTTAAATTCTCCGTAGAATTTCCATCCAGATTCTCGACCAACAATTCAAAATGGTCTATTAGCAGTTTTTGTGAGCCAAACTTGTAATACCCTTTCCCTGTCGACACCAGCGGGCAGGGGAAATTCTCCCGCCGAAATTTGTCTTGGAGTTCTGCTCTAAATTCTTCTGAAAGTTTCAAGGAAATCTCATTTAAATTCTCTAGAACTTCCATTAGAAATGCACTTGGAATTATCCTCGGACTATCCTGATACATCTTTGTAAAATTATTTTGGAATTTTACCCCACTTCCCTTGGTATTTTTCACGAATCCTGAAAACCTCTTCTCTCTTGGGAGATCTAGTAAATACTCTCTTAGAGGTTTTCCTAAAGCTCCCAAGAAAATATTTTTTGAAACACCTTGGTGTTATCTATGAATGAAGTCTTTCTAAAATCTGCTCAATTTGTTTTGGATTTAATTAATGCTCTTCAAAGTTACTGTATCCTGAAAATCTAGCTCAACCCAAGAGTCTTAAAATCCTATGGTTTTCGAAGAGAGGACGAGGTATATTTTTCTAGATTTGTCCCGTTTCACTGATCACCCTACATTTTACATATGAAACATTTGTTTTTAATCCCATTATATATTTTTGCCTTAAGCACATGTTAAGACCCAGCTCTACAAGACAATTATTCCGGATAGTACTCTTAACCAAAAGCTAATTCGCGGGTGGATTCCAGCGCTTTCAACTCAAAAATTATGTTAGTTAATCCCATCTAAATTGCAATAGCAGCAACATTACATTACTATAACTTCACTGAGAAGCTAGTTTTACGTTAACTCGTTTTAGGTTTACAATGAAGTAAACAGTAAATAAAGCCACTTTATGCTGTCAAGGCAATGCTTGTCTATACGTATCATTATTCAATCTTGAGAGTTCTACTCCTAGCAATCGAAAAAATATTCCTCCCAAGCAGGACCATTATCCTAAATTCTCATTTAGGTAGTTTTCAGAGCTAATCAAACTGTTAAGAACACAATAAGGAACAGTAATTAGAAGTATTCAGAAAAAACATCACCTCTTAAAGCTGGGTTTAGACAATACAAGGCAATTGATCGACTAAGTCGACCATGCCATTCAACTGATTTGATCAACTCACTCAAATTGAAAAAAAATTGGACCAGGCTCAACTCTTCAAGCCAACTGAATTCAACTGAGTTGATCAATGACTTGCCTTGTCTAAACCCAGCTTAACTCTTAACCAGTCTTGCATTTACTCAAAGGCGCTAGAGGGGGCGACCCCGGCGTAGTGGCTAACATCCATACCTCTCACGCCAAAGTCACGAGTTCAAATCTCACCCCCGGACAAGTCACGAATGACCCAAGAGTGTTAAAGTGACTATAATAAAAAAAAAAAAAAAAAAAAGGCGCTAGAATGCGTTCAAGGGATTGATTTTTGTTGGAGACAGCTGAATCGAGCAGACCCATCAATCTACTTCAAGTCAGAAGCAATAAGGTGTAACATCTATTAGGAGACGCACATACCCATTAGCAGCTTAAATTTTGCAACAACTTAAAGAATATATAAAGCAATACTTCCCTGAATTTGAATGAAAATTTGTCTATTACTTTTCAATTTTTCATTGTAGTATTCGTATTGTTTCGTCGGGACATAAATAGATTATGATCCAAACAAAATCATGCAATGCTTAAATGAATGGTATTTCGACGCACAGCTTCAGACATAGCAATCAAATCAAGGTTAAAAATATATATATTTACAAAATACCCTAAAAACAATATTTTGTTCCTGAATCTTTTTATTTGCTCGCAAAGTTTTTCAATTTTTTTCCTTGGGATCCTCATCACACACTTACGTAGAACCTTTCAGGTAAAAAATCACGTCTTTCGCACTTGTCAGATCGCTTAATTAAAAAAAACAATGTGATAAAAAGTGTATTGACAGAGTTAATAATCAGAACTAAGTTTATTTTAAGTGTTTCAAATTTGTATATTCAATTAAAATTTAATGAAAACTGAGACATTATTGATAATTTTCTGAAGTTGTAAACGTTGAACGAAAAATGACACTGAAAATTGAGCAAAATCGTACTTTGTTCTATGGAATTCATATTTATTTTAGTTGGTGTGTATCGTCTTTTAGAAGAGCTGAAATAAAAACAATACTTGGCTTGATCAACTGAAAAATGTATCCTGCTGTTCAAATTATATTGACATGGGTATACCAATTGCATTTTAGAACACATGTGATTTAAAATTCCGTAAAAATTACATACAAATACATTGCTTTTTATTTTTCCCATGCTAATTATTAGGCTAAGTAGTCAAATAACAAAGTTGTGACTGAAAGTGTGTGTCCGTTTTATAAACTGAACAGTCCTTAAGATACATTTTTTCATCAGACTTCCCATCCAAAGTCCATCATAGAATTCCATGGGCAATGTTAGCACAAACCACCTAAACCGATCCTCACTACGCCACAGTTCGGCTCGGTAAATCTCGACCACTATTCGCTTTAGTAGATAGCCATTGCAGAACTTGAAAATAAACCGTACATGCATACACCTCTCTGTTGTTGTTCATTCAACGGACCACGGCAGCCGTAATTACATATCAGCCACAAAATGCACTACTCTCGAAGCACTGCTCTACAGAGCAAGTTACTACTCCTGCCAACCCCCCCCCCCCCCCTCTAGCAGTTCGCGGGAGGGGAACACATATACACTATTCTACTTTTTTTGTGTGTTTCGGTCGCTGCCGCGTTTCACAGCCTCGAGGGGCCCTCTGCGGCACAATCCATCATTAAATTCCAGCACTCTAGAGCACCACGATCATTTTTCTTCTGGTGGTCACCACCTCGCCACCTTCAACAATTCAAGCTTGTTTCTATTTTTTCGCACATACACAAAAGAACACTGGTCGTCGTCGTCGTCGTCGTCAGCAATTTTCCAACATTCCATTCAAACGACTCTAGAACGACTTGAGAATTCTAACGCAGAACTCAGCAACGATCGCTTTTCCTCAGTCGCAATTCCGAGCAGAAAAAAAACACCCACAATTTTGATAAAAAGCCGATCACGAGGCACAGATGACTGAAACCGAAAACTTTCTATCGCACTAACCACTGCTAATTTTCGGTTCGAGAGAAAACCACGAAAATCGAAACGCGCAAAACGAATGTCGAGTTCGTCACAGGTAGGCAGCCAGGCAGGTAGATAGGGTCTCGGTCCAACCGCCACGATGATTTGTAAACAACTGACTCAACGACGACCGACGACGACGACGACTGCGGCGCGGATGGAGAACACGAACTCGAAAACACACACACAGCTGGAGACGGCCGTCAACCAACAACAACAACCTCGCTGCCGTAGTGCAGCTCTCTAATGGTCGCTGTGTCCGTGTTGTAGGGGGTAAGTCAGGCATAGCAGCAGCAGTGTGGAGGAAGGCCGTTTTTTCCCACACCCATACATACTCGGATGGGACTTGGATCGGAAAGGGGGTGGCACTCACACCACCGGCCGACGAGTACCTACTACAGGAATCCCCCGAATAGCGCATGGTGGGTGGTGCAAGCCATGGACTGCACCACCCACCGCATTATTCGGGGGATTCCTGTACGATGAAACAGAATTGCATTATCTACTAGGTAAGGTACCTATCAACTAAATCGTGTGATGGTTGGTTGGTGATTCAGCAGAAGAAGGGTCCACTTGAGTTGAACCGTCGTCGTCGAAGAGAAATGCAATGAGGGAATTCCTTTGCACTGTGTGTGCTCTGCACTGATGACGAGGGTGTCCAGGAATTCCCACGGGTGCCTTTCGAGGGTGAACGGAGTTTCAACGGAAGCGTTCGAGTATTTGAATGGGATATTGTAAAGGTGAATAGAGGGGGCACAGGTAGATTTGATTCAATCTATGAATTTATGGTGTAATGGTGTCTGTTCCAGTGTTCAATGTGTGCTAGATTCAACATACAAAGTGTATACAGCGTATAGTGCAAGGATACCGATAATTAACTTAGTAAACTTAATCGTAACACTGAAAATATTTATTCTAACATTGAACGAAAAAGTTAGGCATTGAACGAACATTACATCTTTGTTCAATATTTCGATGATTCAGTTTGTTATCTAGGGTGAGTATACCAGCCTATGGGATTCCCATATGCCATAATTGGAACACACCATAATAGGAACGTATAGCCATAACTGGTACTGTTGTGATTCGCACTGATGGCGAATTTCATCTCGCTTCTGTCACCACAAAAAAAAAAAAACAGGCGTATCAAAAGGTATTTTGCATCTAGGCGAAATCATTCATAGTGTAAATAGTTGCTTCAAGTCTGTATGTCCTTGATAGTAAATGGTTCTATAAAATGTTTTGTATTAGGTTTTCAATAGTTTTTTTTTATATGAAGAATGATTTATTGTTATCAATTTGTTATAAAAAAATCAGAAAATAAAGAACAATCTCTTTCCATAGTCAACCCTCCAGAATGGCATGTTGCCTCCTGGAGGACACAACGAGTAAAGGAGGGATCGAGTTAGAGATTCCGCTTATGTTTTCAATGCTCCAGAATATACTGATGGATTTTTGTAAGGTCATTTGGCTATGGATGAGTCATTCAATTGTGAAGACTGAGAGATTGAATTTCAATTTTTTTTTAGAAATCTTGATCTTGATTTAAATGAGACTTAGGGAAAAGTGTTGAAAATCTCGGAGAAATAAAACGTTTTAACACTCCGGAGATTGTACTATCAAATTTTTAAAAGTTTAAAAGATTCTGAGGATTTGACATGTGTTTAGAGGGATTAAAAAATATCCAGGATCCTGGAGTTGAACACTTTCAAAATCATTATAATCGCCATGGGACTTGGAAGAATTTGTATGATTCAAACAATTAAAATAATATTCCATTGAATTCTGATGCGTATTTTGGGGAATTTAGAGGAAAATGTTAAAAGAATTTAAGTGTTATTTGCTAAAAAAAATCTATAGAGAAGTACTACAAAAATCTTGGAAACCTTGTAAGGAGAATTTGTAATTCTGAGACAAATTCCAAGGGAGTTGTAAGGAGAAATTCAATGAAATTTCCGAGGAATATTTGTTGAGAATTGTATGGGGATCTTGAGGAGAACAGAAGGTTAATTTTATTGAGTAGCTAAAGAGAGTTCTTATAAGCCTTTTTAAGAGAATTATAAACATAATTTAAGGGAGCAGATTCAAGGGAGTTCCGAGAAAATACCAAAGGTATCGTATTATGAGATTAAATGGAGGAAAATTTAAAATAAATTTTTGGGAAATTTACAAGAAAATTCTAAAATATTTCTGAGGAGAATTTCAAAGGATTTCTAAAAAGACTCCCGAAAGAATTTTTGAAGAGATTTTTGAATGATTTCAGAGGCGAGTTTTGACTAGAAAATTATAAATAGAATAGAATTAAATGGAAATTAAAAAAAAAAGTTTAGAAGAATTTCAAAGGGATCGACTACTCAGGATAGTTTGAAAGGAATTCTAAGGAATATTCCGTGGAAATTCTCAAGAAAGTTTATAAGGAATTCGAAAGCCAATTCCAAGGTATTACGAGAAAAGATTTCAGTTAGTTTTAACAAGAATGTTATGATCATTTTGAGCAGAATTCCACGGTAGTTCTGGGTTTAATGATTTGAAACCGTCAAAAATAATAGACCCGAAGGAGAGTTTCGGTTTTCACACTTTTTTTTAAAGTCCGACATCTTGAATATTTTACTTTAAAGATCATGTGAATTACATCCGGATTGAAGTAGGAACGAAAAATCAATTTGCAATATTGTTGAGTTTTTAAAAAATACAAATAACTAATTATGCAGCAAAACAGCAAGTCTTTCATTTGGCAGACTTGTTCTGTTTCACTAATTGATTCTTAAAACCTGAGCATGATTGACCGCCCGAGGATGCAACCCTGTTATTGTCAGAGCAGCTGTAATTACACAGAGAACCAATAGACGCTGCTTGGGACTAGCATTCATCCTCAATGTGTAAATACTGGTGATCTAAAATTAACAAGGTCCGAATGCTGGTCAAGAAAGGAACGTGTACTCGCTTTAATGAAAACAGAGAACACCACTGCACTTCCACGTTGTTGGATAAAAGTGTTGGGATTGCAGCAGGATTCGTTTTGGCAAACGATATGCTGAATTTATGTCCTAACGATTCCATAGCGTGAAGGAGCTTGGGTTTGAACCCACGGTTTTCTGCTCAGTAAGCAAAAATGATCGCTCTAAGGCCACCGAGCCCCTTACATCACAACAAGCGACGTCCGACGATCGTTCATTATCGGTTACAAGAAGCTATTACAATGAAATGAAATCCCCGAAAGTAGTTAACAATGTCTTCCGAACCGAATCAGGCCTGCATCACATTTTTCTAAATATACGTAGGGCAGAGATCTATTTCGGCCTAGGCGCCAATTTTGGGCCTTTCAAGCAGAAAACATCAAATAAAGCCATGATTTCGGATTTAACAGGTAAATTATGCGTTTGGTACGATACTTTAGTTCAAATTCTACCGAACGAAGTCAATAAGAACGCGTGATATGAATGTTTGCACCCAATATTCTCAAAAACGAATGTAGCGCTCCGACCTTATCAATCTTTATCTTCATCCGATAGGCCGAAATGAATTCATTGGCGTTTAAATTGCGTTTCAATGCGTTAGACCAAGTTTAGAATCCGTAGGCTGAGTTTGGCGTCAAGAAGCAGTGTTAGACTTTTAACAATATCTCAACAATTTGTTTATCTTTATCAAATCTTATGGTACGTACGGAAAGGTAATACATTTGAAAGCCATAAGTAATAATAACATTTCGTTTGGTGCTAAACTACGCTAGATTAAGAAAGACTAAGTGCGGGTTGTGCTTAATAGGCCGGAAATGCGTTAGTTGTCCCTATTACTTTTCCGAATCGTTCCACAGATTTCTACAATACATGCCTGGATAGATCACTAATTCATTCTGAAAATCTGGCTAAAAAATTTGGGCTTATGTTAAGGTTTATGTTAAGCTAGGGAGCAATTGATTGATTCGCTCTACTAGGGGACCGCTTACCTGTCACGAATAAAAGTTCACTCAGTGCTGTTTTTACGCCTCTATTATTGACTGTGTGATTTCAAATTGCAACCAAATTTAATACAAGTGGTTTCAAACAATCAAAAATAAATCAATGATGAATATGGCGGTATCAAAAATGCTGTACCTATCATGGCAAACTAAAAAAAAAATCAATGCATCAAAACAGAATTGAATGTACCGTAAAACAGGGTGAAGTTGATCACTACATCGTTAAATTTTCGTTTCTCAGCAATTCTGTTGCATAATAAAAACATTGTTATGAGATAATCTGTTAAATATTAAGTAGCTTTAAATAGTACTTTTGCAAAGTTTTCCCTAACAAATGATAACTGCTAAATACTGCTCTAAATGTACGATTTAGTGGAACTGTTGAAATGGGAAAATTTTTACTGTTCCTCATAATCCGACCATCGTCAGCTGATGCTGTGTTACATAATGTTGGGTCTTTAAAATGAACGATTTAGTATCATAAAAATGAGTTTGTGAGGAAAACTGAGTTTAATTGCCTACATTTAGGGGTATATTGAACTGTTTTGCCACAAAACATGCGTTTTTTGCAAAGCACTACCTTTCTAGAAATGTCGTCAGTGAAACACACATCAAGTTTAATTGCTAACCACTGAATAATGCCTGGCATAACAACCAGCATGACCACCAACTTCACTCCAGAATTGAAAATCTACATTGTTTTGAGGTTATAAAAATATTAAAAATATTTCTCGCAGCTGGAAATTTTCGCTGAATTTTGCAATCAACAAAGCACGTAGCTATCATCGCCGAATTCAATAGAATCGTAAAATGTTATGAAAATACCGATAAATACGCAATACATTTCCCAAACCGTTAAGGTAAATTTTGCTCATCTTACATCAAATTTTTAGACGTATGAAGGTTTTAGTTTGGACGAATTGACATCCGATTTGTTAAAACTTGTGCCATTATCACCTATGTGAGATTATTTTCCTAGTAGATTTGTCAAATCCCGACTTTTTCTCCTGGTTTCGCGGGAAGCCAAACATGTTCGGGAAATGGAGACACTAGTTCTACCTGTCTTTAAACTTCTCTGGACTTGCAATCGAAGTACATACGCTATATTCACCAAACCCCATAAATGCCGCACGATGTGATTTGCATCAAACT